GCTGTTTTCCCTTGTCTCTCTTTCTCTTTATTCGACCCGTGAGTATCAGATTCTCCAGTCCCTCCATCCTCATTATGTGTCCCAGGAACTTCAGCTTCCTCTTCCTGATGTTAAGTATAAGCCTCCTTCTTGTTTGCATCCTCTCTAAGACCTCATCGTTGCTCACACGTTCGGTTCATGATATCCTTAGCATCTTTCTGTAGAACCACATCTCCGTCGCCTCGAGTCTCTTCTTCATCTTTGAGGAAATCGTCCATCATTCGCTGGCGTAAAAAAGGACAGATGTCACGTAACATCTCAGTATTCTTTTCTTTGCTACCTCCTGTCTTGCAATACTCTGCCCAGCTTTTGGAATGTGTCCTTGGCCATTCCAATACATCTACGGATCTCAGTATCGCATTTTACCGTCCTCTGTCAAAACTCTTCCTAGATATTTAAACTTCCGCGTCTGCTTGATTCTAGTGTTTCCGACCGGCAAATCGAATTTAGCAATCGAAATCTTAACATTTATCTGGGCTTGACATCAGATTGTTGGTACTTTTGGAAAAAAAAAATCGCAAAGAAAAACTATTTTCTAGATGTCTCCTATATTGAACTCCAATCAACACAAAATCATGAAGAAGGGAATTTGAGTTGTAGTGAAGATAGCCTAATAGAAAGATTCCAAGTAGAGTGGACATTACTGTGGGGGAAATTAGTATTCGAAAATTTGACTTACACACAAATACCAGCCCCTGAGGTAAATGCGAAACTTTTTAATTCACGATTGTATCTCGACGTAGACTATTTAAAAACATGACTTGAAGAGAAAATATCAAGGGTAATGGTTAACAAGCTAGTCTACTTGATCATTACTACTGAAATCCTCGTAGTCTTGTGCAAAAAAATGAAGCTTAGTAAGTAGCAAAGTACGCCTTAATGGTGATGGTTAACGAGCTAATCTAGTTGACCAGTACTACTTAATAGGGAACATCGGATGCCCTATAATTGAGGCATTGTGAAGAAAAAAAAGAAAGAAAAGAAAAAAAAATATGAAGTACGCCTAAAGGTTGTGGTAATGGTTAGTCTAATTGCTTACTATTAATGAATAGTAATTCTTACTTGGTGTCCACACTTGTAGCATTGTACCAAAGCCAATATAATCTTAGTATCTATAAAGTACATCATTCACGCTAATTGCTAAACCCAGTGGTTGTTTGTTACTATGGACAGACTGGATTATGTAATAGGTCCTATTCTTAACACACTTGATGTCTCTACCTACAGTAATACAATGTGTAAGAGTTAGTGTAAGAGACCTTCATTTTTACAATGAAACCTATTCTCGCGATGCTCCGTTTAGTGCCACACAAAACAACACATAGTAAAAAACGAGTTAAATACGAGTTAATTAACCATACGCTTAATGTCACACTTGACTCGATCGCATCTAACTTTTATATCATAAATACATGCCTTATTTGCGTGATCGTAAATTTTTGCCAAACTTCTCACAGATGAAGAGCAGATTTAAGACAACAGAAATGTGGTTCTACAGAAGCATGTTGAGAATACCACCGACTGAACGTATGAGCAATGACCAATTTTTGAAGAAAATGAATACAAAAAATAACATTTATAATTAGAATCACAAGAATACACTGGACATTTCTAGGGCACCTGAGGAAAACGGCTTATTAAAATTTAAGACACACGGGACAGATTGAAGGCAAGAGAGTGAAAAGCAGAAAACAACCTACTGGCAAGCTTGTGGAAATGATTGGCACAACAGCGATTAGGAGAGATAGCAAAAAAAAATAAATATTTCTAAGATCTACAAAAGACAGGAAGTTGTGGAGAGCAATGATCGCCCACATCCTGGAAAGACATGGTACATAGAAGAAGAAGTAGAAAAAGAAAAGAAAGAAGAATTCTGAAAATTTCTCAGCAGACGCAAACAAAATAAATCCTGATTTGTAAAGAAACGACTCTTTTTTTTTGTTCTCTCTCTCTTTTTTTCTCTCTCTCTCTCTCTCTCCCGAGACGAATAATAAATAAGAACGCGCCATTTGATGTAAAAACTGTGCACCCAGGGTGACACGAACACTAAGCCAAGTTCCTCCATTGAGTCTCTTCGCTGAAAATCCATCTTAGAACCACTTTCGACTCCATCTTGTTTTAAGAACACTAAAGGCTCCAGGAAGACGACTAGATAGCAGCTTTCCAACGGATCAGAAACGCTAGACTGCTTCCAAGGTTTAGATTAACGTCGGAGGTTTTATTTTGATAGATTTAGGTCGTAGCCTTCCGGCAGTTTGACTGTATTTTCAACCCTCCCTCCTCCGAGCTGAGCTGGTTTTAGTTTTAAACATCATTGTTGAAACAGTTTTCTTTTTGACTCAAGATTGTGGCAAATCTTTTGGAGGCCTATTGAAACGTCATTTTTGTCTCTGTAATAAGCATATCTGACTTTGAACCGCCCCAAAGCGGAATTTGCTGTTCCGTTTGAATGAATAAAGAAGACGAACTGTTTCTCTGCGAAAGGGACTTTAAATCCTGTATCTATCACATTTGCTTTTATATCCGGAGCTACGCTTATTTTAAAAAAGAAAAGGATAATAACGAATGAACGAAACAGTAAATAAATAATTCTAAGAAATAAAAAAAGGAGAATCATTAAGTCGAGAATCGTTAAAGAGGCTTCCGGATTATAACTTTATAAGTTGTATTAAATGAACTTAAATAAATATTTGGTGAGTTCCGAATTTTTATATTTAATAATGGAATAAAATATTGGTTGGGCAAAATATTTATTCGGTTTGTTAAGGGAAAGGCACACACACAAACAAACACAAATCCCACTTTAACTTTATTTACGCTTTTTGAAAAGATGCAAATATAAACGTTTACGTCGATTCTTTGAAAAGTGGATCAACCAGTGAGTAACAAACTTGCCTACCGGAGTGATAGGCCAACAAATAAGTGCATCCTGATAATTTTTACTGGAATATATATTTAATGATATTGTTTAATTAAAAATTTATTCAAATAAGTGTACTCATAAAAAAACGTATAAACAACACATATATTAAAATATAACATATATCTATCTATCTATCTATATATATATGTATATATATACATATATATATATATAGAGAGAGATAGTGAGAGAGGGGGGCACGTAGTGTATTTTGTTAGGATGCTACTCTTGCTAGATCAATTACGACAGAGTAGTGAGTTCGATTCTCACTGGGTTCCCCATACTTGGCAATTGTGCCACATCTAAGATGTGATTAGAAAAATCACTATATATATCGGTTCTGGCTTGAACCATTCGGATGTTTAGTCGCACTGAGGAGCTGCGATACAGCGAAACAGTACTGTCTGCGAATAACGACATAATTAGGCTCTTGAAAATATATTTTCAACTGAGCACTATTGAGAGATAGGCTGATTCTATAAACAATGCTCTTCATAAAATGACTGATTGGCGTTTGTTTACATTCATAAAACAATACGCGAGAATTAACTGTTTCTCTCTGCCGAATGATGATAGCTCAATGGTAGGAACTCTGACTAACACCAAATCTGTTCGGTTTCGGTCCTGGCTTGAAGCATTCGGATGTCTAGTCGCACTGAGGAGCTGTGATATAACGAAACGGTATATCAAATATGTGGTGCAGTTCAATTTATATTACAATGAATCATTCATACAAAAAGTAAATTAGTAAAGTTAATGATATAAAATAGCGAAATCCCTTCGCTGACAAAATTTTAAAGATTCATTAACCTACCAATCACTTGATGAATGTTATGATCCATGTTTTTTTTTTTTTAATTATAAACTGTATTAGGTCTTAAACACGCAAGTACTTTCGACTGTACATTCAGTCATTATTCAGGCATGGAAATTATTTTGTTTTTGGTAAAATTCAGGTAGCATCCGAGACGAAAAAATATAATGCGAATCGAAATATTTTTTTAAATGTGTTATTGATAACAGATACAAACTTGTGGAGCATGCAGTCGCAATGCTAAGGTTGATATTTTATGAAAATTTAAGTGAGCACGTGTTTTACAAATATTGTAATTTGAGAATTTTTGTTGTAGGAGTTTATCAGTGCATGTGGCATGAACTAAATAGTTCAATAATTAGAGTAATGTCTCAGTTGTTACCTCGAAAATTTGCACGTCAGTTCTTTTAAATCAAATATGTGCTGCAGTTCAATGTATATTGATTATATATATATATATATATATATATATATATATATATATATATATATTATCATTAAAACGACAGACAAGGTACTACGGTTAAGCATTTTATTTAATTTCTTTTGTGTCTGACAAGAGCTTTCTTTTCTGGACAAAGGTGTGTAAGAGCTGTCCGAATGTTTAAGCTTAACCGTAGTACCTTGTCTGTCGTTTTTAATGAAACATACATAAAGTAAGGATTGCTGCATAGATTATAACATAGATATATATATATATATATATATATATATATATATATATATATAGAGAGAGAGAGAGAGAGAGAGAGAGAGAGAGAGGTTATTGCTTGAACATTATATTCTAGCGGAGAGACGTGTTTTAGTAGACTAACAAGAATTCCTAAGCATTCGAGAATTTTAATGAAGACACTGGCCTCCGGCTGATTTTGAACCTGCGTTCCCCTTTTGATGTCCGTCCTGAAACCTAAAACCCCAGGGAAGTGTTTTCAAACATGGCATTCCGAGTGTATACGAATTTTTCGCAACTGTTTTCACTAGAAATCTGATTTTCTTGATTTGTTTTGAACGGCTTATCAACCCTTTGAAGGTTATTTAAAGTCAGGAAATATATTTAGATAGTAAGAATTTCTTCTGAGATAATTATGATTTAGTGCTACAAGTCTTACTGATTAATCAATAGCTGGGGAGAAGAGGAGGAGGGTATTTGTAAGGGAAGATAAAGAACACGGCTTTTCGATTAACAATACCGACCCAATATCCATTACACTATCACATCGAAGCTTATAGCACCTGGTATTCCCAAGCCGTCACCATCTAGGTACTGACCAAGCTCGACATTGCTTAACTTCGATGATCGTACGGGAGCCGGTGTTTCGACATGATTGTTGCCGTCAGCCAAATCGTACTTAAAGACACGATTATCGGTATTTATGAAATCAATAGAATTCGACATCAGGACAAAAATGAAACAAGCCTGACCAGATCATATTTCGACTATCGGCTTTGTTAGAAAATGCGCTGACTAAAGAGAAGGCCAGCAGCCGTCATTTAGGTTTATTCTTGCCCTGGGGCAAAAATCCGGTGACCAGTCTCGTAACTCATCTCTGGATGTCGCCAAAATAAGTAAGCGCTCGTGTTGCCCATGTCTGGGCATGCGCAGATTAGAGAAGAACACCGATCAGGCCATCGATCTCAAGGATGGACAGCACTTCTGAACCATGTTATTTTCTATTGACATAAAATTCACCAGTTGCCGGTGCCAAGTCGTTTTTGGACACGGCTAATGTCGGGGTGATTAACACATACGGGTTAAATCTGCGATAGGTGGAAACTTAAAGTCTCATCCAAAAGTGGAGATATCAAGTAAATCAATATTTCGTCCTTAAAACTCTGTGCACTTTTCTTTGAATTTCTGTTGACTCAGGTCATTTTCTAAGTTCGTGTTTTGCTGTTTTGATTTGAATTCCTTGCAATGCTTGCCAAAATGCCGCTACCCACAAAATTCGCTTGATTGTGTTTTTGTCTTACTTGGTTATTACGTCAGTGAATCAAATCTATAATTTGGTAATTTTGGCGTTGAAACTTGTTCGGTTATGATTTTGCTTAACTTGCTTTTGCTTAAATTAACAAGCAAGCTTAGTACTTAGTAAAGTTGTGGGATCTGTTGTTTCGCTTTCACTTTCACTTTCACTTGCAGCATTTTATAAGTTTGGATACTTATTAAATGAGACTGAAAATAAAGACAGCCTCATAATGAAATAGATATTTCTTTTTGTTGTTCACGATTGGCTAATCTAATATAAAGTAGTTGAGAAAGAATTGGCGCAAGCGTTTTCTTTTTCTTTGTTATTTATTCACTAGGGTTGTCTTTCTTGGATTTTCATTTTTGTCGCTTAGATTTAAACGGGTAATCATAATGTAACCGATGTTTTTTTTTTGAACCATGCTCAAACAGGTGATATCGACAATCTTTAAAAATTTAAATGCAACATCAATCGCCATCTTCTGTTGCCTTGACCCTCCTTTTTTTCCTTTCCTCGATCCCCACTACACCCAATCTTTTCTCTCACTTTTACTTTCTGTAACCCCCTGCGTGCTAGTGGCACGCCTACCTTGCTTGGGATGAAATGCTAAAAAAAAAAAAAGAAAATTAAATAATGTTCTGCGCAAAAGTAAGTGAAACCTTAAGATAGTATTTAAAAAAAAAAGAAAAGGTTTTTCTTAATGAATACAAATTTTAATTAAGATTTGTTGATTATTCGTTAAAAGAGATTTTTTTTTTAATATTATGTTAGAGGTTTTCTTATTTTTTTTTTGTCTGAGTCATTAATTTAGGGTCTTTTTATCAAATAATTTTCTTTTCGCTATAAAAGTAATATTCGCATTTTTTTTTCTCGTCAACATGTTTTAAATGTTTTATTATGATATTTATAAGCACTCTCGGTTTAATTCGCTGTAATTTATTTATTCATTTTAATCGTATAAACGAGTTTTTTTTGTTTTTTTTTGTTCTTTTTTTATGGCCGAATTTTTCTTATCTCTGTAAATAGTAACTATTAGCTGATGAAATGAAACTTGATGGGAAGTGGGTAAAAACGGAAAACAAAATTACCTTCTAAAAAGAGTGTCCACTCAAAAATGAAAAAAAAAAGGAAAAATTCCCCGTAAACAACTTAAATAGAATTCACACCATTGTGATTGGCTATTGGTCAACCTCCAATCAAATGCGGGATAACGGAGTATATTTATAGAAGTCAGTGTCTACAAGCATTTTTTAGAGGGCGTATGAGAGTCCGATCAGCTCTGATGGGGTCGACTTGGTGAGGTCAGTATGATGTTTGAAAGACCCGAAACTGCCCAATGATCCAAATCAGAACATCACTGACGACGCCCTCTAGCGCTAAAGAGCGTATATTAAAAAAAAATGTTCGCAAAGCCGACGTTTTTCCCCAAGCAACGCAAAATCAATATACTGTAAATATTTTAACTGATTTCGTACTAGAAGCCTTCGCGAAATCCAGCTAAGTTTTAAGCGAGCAGAACAAGTTCTTGAACACTTGATTATTCATCTTTTCAAAGTTTCACGCCAATCACTCTCGATAAATGCTTCTGAAAATTATATTTTATTTTATTGTTTTTGCTAATACCCCCACCTAAGAAAATTCAAATATACTTCTGTTAGCTCCAAGAATACCCGCAAGGTCGGAGTTTGGTAACTTTTCTAGTTAAACGTCAAATTCGCCTTCTTGCCACCCCACAAAAAAAAGGTTATATAATTGTAAATATTTTTAGGTTCCATTAAGAGTAGAATGATCGCGCCTCTCAACTGAAAGGGGTTTTAAGATAACACTCTTTATGTTGTCGTTGTTGAAATAATTGAGACCATAAAAATAATAAGGAATAATTGAAACATTAAAAATAATAAGGAATAATTGAAACATTAAAATCTAATTCGGTTACAGGCCAAGTTAAATATAGTTTTATAAGAATGCTTTGAATTGCATGTTCTTCCATCTTTCAGAGCAGCTCATGACTTTGGGATCGTTAATGCTGCTTGTCATACTCCAAAAATGGTACGACATTGCTTCGAAGATGAAAACATTAGAGTATAGGGGTCAGTCACCCAAATCCAGTTTAATGCAGAATTAAGATATTTGTTTTATTTTGATTTAAGAAGTGAATTATTATTTTTAACTATAATGTTGGGGTTTTTAAATTTTTTGTAATAAACAATTAGTCTAATTTTTTACTATTGTCAAAGGCTAACAAAAACTTGCCTACCAGTTTGACTTGACACAGGTCATAAGTTCTTGAATAAAAACAGAAAAAAATTGATTTTCGGATAGTTTATCTACAATTTTAATACTGGTCTACAACACCATATTCGAAAATTTAAAGAATACAATAAGAAGTATGCCTTTTAGGAATAGACCTTTGGAGATAAATTATTCCTACCTAAATACAGCACGTACACACACGCACACGCACACACACACACACACACACACACACACATATATATAATATATATATATATAGATATACTAACTTAATATTAGCTTATTGGGCAGCATTTAAGCTAGCTCCTGAGGAGGTTTCTTGATTAAGCCTTCATCACAATAGGTATTGGGGAGTAGATGCGATAGCCAACAATAAACTACAGAAGAACTCAGAATTGATCACTGCATTTAAGTATTGCATAATTATTTAAGCTTACCTTTTAAAAGTTCAACGATAATTATTTTGCCGCCACTTAATTTAAAGAAAGTTTGATGTACGTAGGTCCTTACTTTCTATATGAACAATTATTTTTATTCCATAAGTTAATTTCGATCATTCCTAAATTCATTTCCAAGTTCTAAAATTTTGTTATCGTTCACAAAATTCGTCGCAAAAATCCCGTAAAGAAAAACGAAATCGACGAAAACAATCGCAGTAATGGAAACATTGGAATCCAAAATTTCAGGATCGGGGGTCCGGATCCGACCAGGAATGTCATTTATTTGCTCACAGAATCGGCCTGATTCCCAATGAGATCTTGGGCTACGGCATCTAGGAGTAAAGTTGAAAAAGTGGGACAGTGACACGCTGACATTCGCATATATATATATATATATATATATATATATATATGAATGTCATTTTGTCACACTTTTCTTTTTCATATATATATATATATATATATAAAAGGAAAAGTTGATTAGTAAAATTAATCGAGACAAAACGTCTGTTGTTTTTAATAATATTTGCCTTAAAAATATTTGTTGCCTAAATACACAGAATATATATATATATATGTGTGTGTGTTTGTGTGCGTGTGTATACATATATATTACTCGGTATAGTTAGGTACCTGTTTCTGTATTAGTATTTTTTATGTCGATTTTTAGATATGCACCCCTGATCAAAATCTAAGACCAGAAATAAAAGGTTTAAAAAAATATATAATACTGTTACTTTAATCAAAATATATTTGAGAAACATTTACATTTAATTAGAAAATGTAGTTTATCAACAAATGAGTGAAAATTTTAAGCTTTTAATTGATTAATTTAAACAAACATTGAAAAAAGTTGTTTTTTTTTTTTGGTTGGTCAGATAAGACGATGCAAATACAGAACAAATAAGTCACAACGACAATTTAATTCTCAGTATATCCCCCATTTTTGCGAATTACTTCGAAAATTGGCTTTGGTATACTCATTATTGACTTCTGCATGAGGGTGCTTGGGATGTTCTCCCAGGATGCATAAACTGCCGGAGGAAGACCATCCACAGTTTTAAATTGCGATTCATGTTTATAAATATCCTTTGCCATTTATCCCCAAACATTCTCGATTGGGTTTCGATCTGGAGAGCATTATGGATTGCAACATTGTCTTGCTGGAAAATCCAGTTTTCTCCACATAGTTGAGAGCCTTCAGTAATTAGAGATGCCTTTCTTAACATGTCAATGTAACTAGCAGCTGTTTGATGACCTTTTACCTCCTGTAACTCAAGAGTTCCATTGTACGAAAATGAACCCCAGATCATAATTGAGCCACCTCCACTGTGTTGTGTTGAGAAAATTTCTTTTAGGACATCTTTTGCATGCCAGTAACGATGAAAACTGTCTGGGCCATCAAGATAGAATTTTTTTCTGGTCTGAAAACAACACTTTCTTCCATTTATCCACATCCCAAGTTAGATAATTTTAAACGGGAGGTTTTATGACGAAGAAGGCGAGGCCTCTGCAGCCCTTTCAAGTTCTTAAACCATTTCTTATTTAAATGCCGTCGAATTATTCGAGAGCTGCATTCAGCATCTGTATTCGCTTTTATCTGATTTTATGTTAGGCTTGAATCTCTCTTAACTTCTCGCCTAATGCGTCTGTCTAGAGATGGTGAGGTTTTATTGGGGCGACCGCTTGATTTTTTAGAAGCATATACATCCGGATTTTTAATGAAGTTAGCATTGACAGTTTCTGCTACGGCCAATTTCATTTGAAATGGCTCGTTGCGAAAGACCACGTCTTTGAAGTTCAATAATCCTGCCCTGTTCGAACTTTGTTAACATTTTACCCTTAGCCATTTTAAAATCTGAAATTTAATACTGGAAATGAACTACGTAGATGTCTACACACCTGAAGCTATCAGCACACTGACTAGTTCTAAAAGTTTTTGCCCGGTAATTTGTTTTTTCTCACATGGTCTTATCTTTATGACTAACCAAAAAATCCTATTTTCAAAGTTGGTTTCAAGTAATCAATTAAAAACTTAAAATATTGCCTTGTTTGTTGATAAACTACATTTTCTAATTAAATGTAAATGTTTCGCAAATATATTTTGATTAAAGTAACAGTATTTTATATATATATATTTTTTTAACCCTTTTGTATATGGTCTTAAGATTTTGACCATGGGTGTATGTATATAACTTAAACTAGGTTGGTCATTATGTGGAATCTTCCACATTTGCCAGTTACCCCCCACGCGAAAATGCACTCTTCCCCTGTAGTAATTATCATCACATACATACAGATCATGCGACAAGCATTCATTGGTTAATCTCCTCAAAACTAGCTCGCTGATTGGTCAATTCCGACCAATCAGATATCCTGCACGTGAGGAATGAAAATTACCACTCACTAAGGTTTGATCCAGTCACGTGGTACACCGTCTTATATAAACAAAACATGTGTAAGCTCTCTCACTTCGTTTTCTCATTCATCTTTCTCCTTGGTGCCAAGATGTAATCTTCAAGAGCTTCCGTCTTGACCATGCGGTCAGGCGTTAAAGAACATTACCAATTCACGCAAATACGAACTCATAACTTTTCTGAACTCTTACCAACTTTATCCAATACATAATTCCTAACATGCAACAGGAACTTTATTCTTCTAAACTACAGTTTAATAATTACTTCATATTTATGAGCTCCGGTACAAATATTTCCAAATCTAAGAGACATAACTCATTCAAAACTTCAGCTTATATGCATGTACATCAACACTAATAAATGCAATTGTTATGTTTTGAATCATTACGTTCTGTCTTGTATTTTATACTATGTGCTATTTTACGTCAAATATAAATTGCATTGCGTCCACGCATTGTCCTTAATCACGTCTTTCTTAGTCAAAAGATAAATATACCAACCCCTACAATTAGACAGATATGAACAAACAGAGATAGTGTGACATGTTGAATGTTAAATCAGACTTATGATCAATTTATTAAGGAACACGCTTTCTGTGCGTTTATTCTTTTCTTCCTTCTTTTCTTTCTTTATTTCCTGTCTAGACCAAGTCCTGTCTCGACTATGAAATGGCGGGAAAGAATCTGTGTCGCTTAACTAGACAGATTTACATCCTAATGGAGTAAGTAAAAGTCGGTCACCCATGTCCATGTAGCATGAGCCACCAAGTGGGTTTCTTTAATTGTAATTTTAGTTTCCCGATAATCTCCTGCCACGACAGGTTGCGAGTAAATTGACTCTCATCATGCGCTCATTGTTGTGCAAGGAATAAGGAACTATTATTCCCGATGATCCTGGATTTATTCAACTACTTGATGTGTAGTGATTAAAAAGCTATTATTCCCCCGAAAAAGCATCAGAATTTCATCTTTCATCATATTATTCCGGAGTCTACGATTTAATACAGATTGAATATAGTAATTGTGACACGAGGCCGAAAAATGGGATGTATCAAGGTTGGTCGGCACTTTCTTATACCGAGCTAATCAGATCCACGACTCGTTCATTCGTTACAATTTACTCATTCGACATAAGAATGTATCCGTCACCATTCCCTCCTACATACACCAATATACTTCACATACACAGGGCTCCTTCTGAAAAACACCCCATAACTTAAATGTACAATTCTAAAAAATTCTATCAATGTTATGATATGATGATGGTGGTGGTGGTGGGGTTATGACCCCAAAAACAAACTGAAAATAGAAAGATGTTAGTAAGACCCGTTTACCCCTCAAAAATAAGAGTTGCTTCTGTATTCAGTCTTCCGACAAACTCAAGACGGCCTCTCTCTAAGGGGGAAGGATGGAAAGAAAATTATGGGCATTAGAAAAGTAAAAAAGAAAAATGAACCATTCGAGATGAAAAGCTCAGGTCAGAACAAACTGGAGAGGTTAGGAATCTCGACTTGAATCGTTATGAGAAGCCGGGCACAAGCCGAGAACGACACTTACTCGACACTTACTCGACACTTACTCGACACTTACTCACTTTAATTAGGTACACAAGAAGGAAAGGACTCCACAGGAAACCGTCCGGTTCTGACTTGGGGGACTTAAAAAAGAAAACCAAGGCTTTCCCCGTTCACGCGAACCAGACTCCCCATAGTTATCCACCTTTTACTGAAATCTCTCAATACCAACCGCTTTCTATCAGTTGTAAGATTCACGCTAAGCTGATGCTCAAAGAATCTGGTCACATCCTGAGAATAACGATCACATCGCAAGATTTCATCCATCTGCGTCGTCCAAATCGCCATTCTAGTCAACAGCGTAAGAAACACCATCGTTTCACTCCAGAATACGGGGGCGACACATTGTTACATGCGTATGCGCAATCAATGAGCACGAGCTTTTCATGGAGCGATAGGAGCCGTCAACTCGACGACATAGTTCCAGAAGGGGAGCACTCAAGTACAATGGTAGAAGGCGTGCAAAATCGTTTCCTCTAACCCAAAGTCACATCGATGACAGACAAGCAACTCCGCCAAGCCCCATCTGAAGGCCACGTCATTGAGAGGTAGCGTATTCCAAAACAATCGCCAGGTAAGCGAAAATTGAGGATTGCTGAGATAATCGGCCGCTGGTGCCCAAGACCAGAAAGTCATATATCTTATATTGCGGTAAGAAGTACCGACTTTTATTTGGATATTGTGAAGAGATTTTGTCAACATTTTAACGTGCAAACTCATGAAACACGAATGCTTGAACTAACCCCAAGTATCAGATAAATGATATTTATTTTATCTGTTATCCCATACTCTTTCCATATTCTGTTGTCTTTGTTATATAAACTTATTTACAAATGTTCATCTTGTGTTTTTTGTCCGTTGACATCTGTGTCGCGTGTGCCTATCTGAGCGAACTCATCTTTTCTTTTGAACATGGCGTTCATATATCTATGTTGTTAATTCGTAACAATAGATAAACAGATGCGTCCCTACGTACTTACATAGATAAACGGATTATAAAGTTAGCAAAAAATGAAATTATGGCCATCTTACAAAGAAATAGTAAGTTATTTTTTTCTAAGAAATGCTGGCTTTCTTGCCTCACAAATGAAACCTTGGAAATCATAACATTTGCTTTGGCGCGAATATCGAAGACCAGCGCTAGTAAAAAGCTCGCTTCTTTGCAGGATCCACACAGACACGCGTTTTTAAGATTCATTTATTGCTAATGTCGACATTTGTTTTGAAAATTAACAAAGCATTTCTAAAATTATCACGGAATATTAATCAGTGATGCCAGCGGTTCCAAAATGAAAAAGGTTCTTTAGGCTTCTTCGAAAAATTCGTCTTACTCTTTAATTCTGCTTTGTTTTTCAAGATAAATCAAACAAAAATATCGCCTACCGAGATAAATTCTGGATACTGACAATTGTTTATCAGGATCAAAGTCTGCAAGAATTTGATAAGAAACAGACGATCACCCGTTAACGTAGTTTATACGATTCATAACAGCCGAACGGAAAGTGTCGTTAGTAAGTAATAAATCTTTGAAGACCGGAAAAAAGTAATCATCATCGCGAAAATCGATGGTAGTGTTCAAAGGCAAACACTCAAACAAAACGATGAATCGATTTTGCGGAAGATCGAATAGGAATATCCGTAATGAGAGTGATTACGAAAGCCAATGGTTGTATCGGTAAGATGGCGGTTTTAAATCAGACGTAGCGAGCTTAAATTGAATACATAAGGAGGAACCAATCAGAGACCAAAGAGTCAGCGTCGTAAAAGCAACGCAATTCAAATGAATAAATTACCCGGAATGGCGCTGTTTTACCGTATAAAGGTGGAGGTGGGAAGAAAGCGGGAGAGAAAAAAAGATAATAATAAGTAAAGAAAGAGAGAAATTTGAGTGATGAAGATAAAAAAAAACTTAAGGAAAATTGGGAGAAGCAACAAAATGATAGTGAAAGGTGAGTTATGTCTAGAAATAATTCCTCCTTGGAAAGATCCCCACCCAGACAAATTAAGTAGAAAGAAACAGAAAGAAAAAAGAAATAAAGACAAAAAAAGAACAAGAAAAGAGAAAGAAAGAAAGAAAGAAAGAAAGAAAGAAAGAAAAGAAAGAGGCGAAAAAAATAAAAATGAAAAATGAAAGGAGAAAGAAAAAGAAAGAAAAAAGAAAAGAATGAAAAGAGAATGATAAATAAAGAAAGAGAAAGAAAAGAAAAGAAAGAGGAAAAGAAAAAGAAAGAAAGAAATGGGCAAGAAAAGAAAGAAAGAAAAAATAAAGAAAGAGACGGAAATGAACAAAAGTAAAAAAAAAGGCAATGATAGAAAAAGAAGAGAGAATAATAGGGGAAAATTTTAGCACGTTTTCGGACAGAAAGAAATGGGCAAGAAAGAAAGAAAGAAAGAAAGAAAGAAAGAAAGAAAGAAAGAAAGAAAGAACCGAAATGAAGAAAGTAAAAAAAAAAGGGAATGATAGAAAAAGAAAAGAGGATAATAGGGGATAATTTTAGCACGTTTTCGGACAGAAAAAAATGGGCAAGAAAGAAAGAAAGAAAGAAAGAAAGAAAGAAAGAAAGAAAGAACCGAAATGAAGAAAGTAAAAAAAAAGGGAATGATAGAAAAAGAAAAGAGGATAATAGGGGATAATTTTTGGCCCGAAGAGCCGGACAGAAAAAGATGGAGAAGAAAGAAAGAAAAAAGAAAGAAAAAGAAAGAAAGAAAGAAAGAAAGAAAGAACCGAAATGAAGAAAGTAAAAAAAAAGGGAATGATAGAAAAAGAAAAGAGGATAATAGGGGATAATTTTTGGCCCGAAGAGCCGGACAGAAAAAGATGGAGAAGAAAGAAAGAAAAGAAAAAAAAAAAAAAAAGAAAAAAAAAGAAAAGAAAGAACCGAAATGAAGAAAGTAAAAAAAAAAAGGAATGATAGAAAAAAGAAAAGAGGATAATAGGGGATAATTTTTAGCCCGAAGAGCCGGACAGAAAAAGATGGAGAAAGAAAGAAAAGAAAGAAAAAAAAAAAAAAAAAAAGAAAGAAAGAAAGAAAAGAAATGAAATGAAGAAAGTAAAAAAAAGGGAATGATAGAAAAAGAAAAGAGGATAATAGGGGATAATTTTTGGCCCGAAGAGCCGGACAGAAAAAGATGGAGAAGAAAGAAAGAAAGAAAGAAAAAAGAAAGAAAAAGAAAGAAAGAAAGAAAGAAAGAAAGGAAAATGAAGAAAGTAAAAAAGACAATGATAGAAAAAGAAGAGAGGATAATAGAGGATAACTTTTGGTCCGAAGAAAAAAATGGATAAGAAAAAAGAAAGAAAGAAAGAAAGAAAGAAAGCGAATGTAAGGTAATAAATAAAGCTACAGAAGGAAAGAGAAGAACAATCATAAAGATAAAGAAATTGCCAGAAAAAAAAAATTGGTAAATAAAATAGAAAAAAAATAAAAGATTTTTTAAAGAAGGCTAAAAATATAAAAAAGAAAACGTAAGAAAGAGAAATGAAACAGATGCTGTAAGAAAAGGCGATATAAAAGGAGATAGAGAAGAAGAAAGAAAAATAGAGAGATGAGTGAGAGCATCGATCGCTTGCGGACAGAAAGCACCAGTGAACCACGTCATTTCCCGTCGACATAAAACTCAACACTCAGCTGCGTCGATTTCATTGTTGGCAAACAGGGACTGGGCCCGAGCGTTGTGTGGCTGCTTTAAAAAGAGCGCGAAAATCAAGCAAGTCCGGTCGACCATAATAATTATGATACGCCAGCTTCTCTAGTAAAAGCACAAACGTTTTTCGGGCATCGTTGACCGTCCGTTCCGAAAAAGTGGCTCTTTTAAAAAGTGCGTTTATTGTTTGTTGACAGTGCAGTGCACCAGATCGTGAACAACTTGTCACAATTTAGCAACGTTAAAAATATAGCAAATCGATCATTTTGTCGATAAAGAGCGGTGACTTAGAGTGCTGGGTTTTTACCTTACAGGTTTTATATGCTATAAGATTGAGAAAGAGAAGAACAAAGCCTGTTGTGTATTCACTGTTGGCTTGGCCTTTTCTAGGTCGGATTAATACATATAATGGCTTTATTCTGTCTGTCAGTAACGCTTGCATTCATTCCTGACGGCTAAGAACTGTTTTCTTTCAGAGTTTTAACACGAAGCATATAAATTAGCTGTCGAATTTTGCTATAACACATTTTACGCAAAATAAATGACAGATTTAAGTGATTAATCATAAAACTGTTTTCCTTGTCGACAGAAATATTTTTAGTACTGAAAATTACTAAAGCCCATCGAAAGAGCCGAGGAGTAGCAGTAAAGTCAGTGAGCAACGATAAACCTTCTGAAATCATGCCTTTGAATATGTGACATGACGGCTGTGATAGATGCACCCACATAAAAGAGGATGGTAAATGATTTTATCTGAGTCTTGAGTGTTGTGTCATCAGCGGTAAAGTCTTCAGATCTAGTGGGTGACAAACCACTAGACCGAAAAGGCACAAAATAGCAGATAAATAAATAAAGACTTTTGAAATCAAATGGCACTTGACCGGACGTTGGAAATTTCCGTTCGCAGGCTTATATAAAGTCACAGTTAGGACAGAAAGTAATTCCGATACAGCTTTTTCCGGGATACAAACTGTTTTTTTTAGTTAATTCTGGACCTCTAGTTTGTGGAGAAAAGTTGTCTCTCGAAGTAGTTCTGGTGCTGTCCGTTAGAATTGCCAACCGGGCGTCGTGTTGGGTAGAAGGGTGGTGGGACACAGTTCTCGCTGGTTTAAAGTAAAGCTGATTTATAGTCTCTCATGGCATAAGTTGTCCCAAGTGTCACTTACCTACCGCACACAACGGGTCAAATAAATCCATGAATAAACAATCAAATATTCCGGAAGCAGGAGTCGGGTCTTTATTTCTCACCGTGGCATTAATTTTCCCTTTTCATTTCTCTTTTCGTTATCCTTGTTAACGTACAGAGGATCTTTCTCAGTTTTTGTGTATGTTATGCACGACGGATAGCAAAAAAAAAAAAAAAAGGGATGTCTTCCGCGTAGAGAGTTGGTTTCTTCGTCGCCACTTGTTATGTCCGGTAAGACTTGTTATGGTCCGATTCCTTGTACCACGGTGATAGTCCAAGGTAGAACCAATAAAGAAGAACTCGAAAACAGGTATGGAATAACACAGATATATTACAAACAGGAATATATACAGAGAAGTAGAAGTGTTAGTATGAACAATCAGGTTTAGTAGAGAGAACAATGTAGTCTCGACCAGTATCCCTATTCCAATGTCTTGCAGTAATTGTCTGAACGCGGCTCTGTTTCGGACTGCCTCTGACTCGACTTGAACTACTGACGATATTCAGTCACCCCCCCACGAGGGTGTCATGTGGCACAAGGCCTTTTTAACGTGGGCATTCCGAGCCCGTGAGCTCGGCCAAAAATATGCCCATTGAACCCGGTTTTTCAGGGCCGGTTTTACCTCCCCGAAGGAGACTCCGCCCTTCGGCGTAGCCTCCTTCGGGTTCCTCTCCGTCCGGAGACAGAGAGTTGAACCGATCAGTCGCTCAGAAAGTGAGCGAGTGTCTCCATTACCTACTCCTGAGGCTCAGTATTTATTAAGTATGGAATAGTCCATTATTATTATTATGGGTAAGATCCCATAATAGTGTACATCAAAGCGAGTGAGAATAGAAACACAACGTGGAGTTATGTAGCCGGACAGTGAAAAACTGAGAGATGAAATTATTGTATGTTTACATACAATCTGTCTATTTCACACCACCGTAAAATAGCTTCCCCGTACCTTTTCTATAAATATTTTCACAGTAGTTCTTCTGATGAGCTTTTCATTTTGATATATGTTCATTGGGGTTTCATTTTTAAATGTTGTTATTTTTATTCTCCGCCCCAATAGAAAATTGTACATATGGGAACTAGTTAGAACTACAAAGAGCCTTGAGGTATTATGGTTGCTGTAGTTAGAATGGTAAATGAAAAATGTGTTGTTTTGGTCTAAGGAATACTGTGGTATGTTTGGGTCAGTAATCACGGCTAGCTAAGTTTAAAATAAGACTGACTGAAAACTTGCCCCCATCCCCAACTTTTGGCCTTGTGCCACATTTTTTACTATATAAAAATAAATATTGCTTTCTTCTTTGGTACCTAGACTTTACGAAATTAAACGCAGTACTAGATTGGCAGTAAGGTCTCATCATATGGGAATTAAAATGGCTAGATATAACGGTAAGTTCTATGCTAACAGTTTATTCACATGTATTTCCTTCCGACTTCTTGCTAATCTTCAAAAATTTAAACGCAATAACACTCGTTATTTTCTATCTTCTTAATTCCTGTTCTTTTATTGATCTCATATTCTTTCACACTCAGTCCCCACCCCTTGCATCTTAGTGGCTTTATTGCCACGCTAGAGGTGAAATGATTAAAAAAAAAGAAACAACAGCATATACAGATTTCTTTTATTGTTCTCTCTTCCTAATAATGATTTTCTTTTTCTTATATTCTGTCACAGTGCCCCTTTTCTCTTAGGGGCTTGCTTGAGATGAAATCAATAAAATTATTAAATAAAATAAAACAGGCGCTTAAATACAGCTATTATTATTGCTTGACTAACCAAAATTTGCTATTATGTAACTTCTTTTATGTGCTGTGTCCCCTCAGGACGTTGGCGATCAGGTCTCTCTACAATTTCCTGTCCTTTGTAGTTCTTAATAAATTTTGTCTTTTTCTTATTTCTCCTTTTCCGCCATCCATTTATGCAATTTCACTATATTATGCACTGTTTTCCTCTGTCCCTCTCGCCTTCAATCTGTCCTGTGAGTATCAGATTTTCCATGTCTCTTTCTGTTAAGTATAACTGTCTTTTTTGTTTCCATTTTCGCTACAACTCCATCGCTGCTCACATATTTGGCCCATGGTATCTTTAGCATCCTTCTGTCGAAACACATTTCTGTGGCTTCAATCTCTTCTTCCTCTTTAAAGAGATTGTCCAGCATTCATTGACATATAGTAGGACAGTTTTTCATTGGGACACCATTTCTCTAGCACTTCGTGTAAAACGATTCTAGTCCGCTACTCCAGATTACCTTCATCCATTTTCTCTAGTAGCATATCATGAATACGTACAAATTTCTCTACTGCTTGGCGAAATTATATCTCCTAGGGTTTCCAACTGAAAAAGTCGGAAATTGAAAAATGTCCGATATTGGGTACAAATGTTTGTCTGACTCCAGCGACACGCTGCGGTCATTCCAAGCATTAAATTGTCACACTTTGTATTATGATTATTTTCTATTTAGATTTTATAGATCTTGCCGAAGAGCACATTTTCTGTCCTGCTATTTCTTTTATATTTTTGTTAATGTCTGCTACGTCTGTGTTCTGCAGTTTTCCGATCTCAGCTCAATTCTCATTGAGTCATTTCTTTATTGATTGTCTGCGCTTAATTTTTATGCTATTGTTTAATATCATATATTCTTCACATTTCTTGATATTGTCTGCTGTCCCTTAAGGGAATCGTGAGTGACAACAGCAGAAGTCATTCCGAATAAAGAGTAGCAAGAAAAAAAAAAAAAAAAAAGAAATAGATGACATTTGAAATGCTCAATAGAGAGATAAAATACAAAACGACAGACCTTTCATTTATTTAACAGAAATATTACAAGTTGAACAAAACCAGTTCAGAATTCTATTTGTTTTTAATTTAGAAATTTTTTTTTTTTTTATCTTTTTCTATGTCTTTATTTTTAACTGAAATAAGGAGTTTTCTATTTTTGATACAAACACGCACCGAGGATTTTTTTTTATCAATTCACTCCAAACAAGGCCATAATACCACTAAAACGCAAGGGCCACTTGGAGTGAAAGATATTGAAAATAATCTAAAAGGAACCGGAAACCCAATCCTAAACATTATAAAAAGGGTAAACCTCTACTCTTATTCCAAAGAACGTGGAGGAGGTTGAACAGGACGATAGGCGAAGCTATCTATCCCTATTAAAGCTACTTTCTGCGGACGGCCTAAATGATGCCTTTGTCACTGATAAAAAACCATGGATCTGACCTATGTGATTTTATTGGATCATACATTATTTGAAAATGCATAACCATTATTAAATTTTTTTTTATATATAAAACAAATATCAGGACAGAAAACATGCTCTTCGGCAGGATCTATAAAATCTAAATAGAAAATAATCATAATATGAAGTGTGACAATTTGATTCTTATTAATTTGAATATATCGCGGATATTGAGCAACTACACGAAAATAAAACCAAATTTTTTGCCATCAATTTATGCGCTCTATATATTTCTACAATAAACACAATTATAACGTTGAACTCATTTTTGTGAGGGCGTATAGATTAATAAACGACGTCAATAGTTACTCTTTTGGGTGTTGTTTGAGCTTCGAATATAAACCCAAGTCGATTTTCTGTTTGCTAGAAAGAAGTCATAGGAAAAAAAACAGTATAACATGCTAATAACTTTGGTTTGGGGCGAGGAAATGTTTAGTTCGATGCCTACTTTATACAGCGAAACGAGAAGGTAAAGGTACTATTGATCTAAACTGACGGACCCAAAGTAATGGTCCAGTTTAGCATTATACTTATATTGTAAACTGAAACCTCACGAAATTCCGTTTAAAAATTTTCAACTAAATATTTACTTTACACATTTAAGCAAAAAGTTAAAGCTTGAATTTAACTAAACAAATGGATACAAAGTAAGGGTCCAGTTTAAAATTCTACTTACATTGTAAATTGAACCTTTAATAAAAACCTAAAAAAAATTTTCACATCTACTTTATATAGTTAAACAAAAAAAAATGAAAGAATCAATTTTGCACAGCAGATGTATGCAAAGTAAGGGTTCGGATTGAGGAATCGGAGAGCCGAGTTCGAATTCCAGTCGAATCCATTACATTCACTTACGTGCTAATACCCTTGGGAAAGGTGTGAATCCTCTTCTTCTCCCTCCAGCTATGGGTAAATAGCAGGACAGACTGGGTTCTATAGCCTTGGATGGAAACTGGTCTATCACAGAAAGAAATGGCAACCTACGGCGGGAAAAATCTGCCACGTCCGTTATGTATCGAAAGATACATGATCGCCTAAGCGTATACCACGCCTGGCACATAACTGACTGACTGACTTACATGATAAATGAAACCAACGCTCAAATCTGAAAACGTTTTGAAATTTTGTAAATCTAATTGTGCTAAAAATCATGATCCTGACTCTCTTTAATGACTGTCAAAAAATGAATAGCCATAACGTTTATCGAATTTGATGCATTTAATTACAGACAGGCAAACAGAAAAAGACATTTGTTGAGTTATAGTAAGGTTTGATTAGCGTAGCTAAGAACAGAATAAGGTCGGATGGGTTGAAAGAAGAGGAGAAAGATTATGTTGCGCCAAGAAAGAAGACAAGAAACCTTGCTTGCCTTTTTTGAAAACCAAGATTTGAAATGTTATGTTTTACCTGAGCTCAAACATCTAACTCTAATAAAAATATATAACTATGTCATAAATATGAAATGGCATTTCTCGGGGTTCTTGATAGGCTCCAGAAGCGGATATGCAATATGGTTGGCCCTGCCCTGGCGTCTCGTCTACAGTCACTTTCTCACAGACGCACCGTCGCCTCCCTCTGTCTGTTCTACAAATACTTTCATGGAAATTGCTCCGAGGAGCTGCATTCGCTGGTTCCCAGACTTCATGAGTTCAAGCGCCATACGAGGCTGGCATCCCACTCTCACCCCTTCACTGTCGAAACTCCTAAATGTAGCCGTCTCTCCTACTCTAATAGCTTCATGTCTCGCACCTCTCGCCTGTGGAACTCCCTTCCCTTCTCTTGTTTCCCTGTGAGCTATAATCTCCAGCTATTCAAGTGTAATGTCAATCGACATCTCCAGGTGCCTTAATCTATCCACTACCCTCATCCTTTCTTCTATCACTCCTATCTGATCTTGCTATTTTCTGTAACCCCTTGCGTCCTAGTGGCTTCTCGCCTTGCTTGGGGTGAAATGCTTAAAAAAAAAAAAAAAAAAAAAAAAAATTGACAAATCAGAGATTAAATCATAATACTGGGAGAATCGTATTCATTATTGTCGAAATTAACGACACGATGGACTTTCTATTGCTCCACGGTAGACATTTTGCAAAACTTGTTGATTAAGTTGCGCTTCTGTTTGAATTTTTGAGATGTAGAATTAGTAACATCATGTTTTTTTCATTCGGAATAGTAAACTTGTTTTGGTTATTATATTTGCAATGTTTCGGTCTAAGGTAAAACTCAGTCATTGCTTACCTTATTTCCACTAAGTCCAAGTACACACTACCCAATGCGAAAAAAAAAGAAGAAATAGACGAGATATCTCTAGACAACGGCAGTGGAACGAGAAAAATCTACCCCGTAGTTTAAATAAAAGGTTCAGTTCGAAATTCCGTATAGGTTACCCGGATTAAAATATACCTGATGAAGGCTGGAGGGCATAACAATCGAAACGTTGTGAAAACAACAACAAAGGTGAGGGCAATAGTCCGCGTGTAAACCACCCACATTCCCTAACAATTCCATCGGTGTGAAGTAAGTTCGATTCAAACAACTTCTTGCGAGCCACTGCCCTGTGGAACAGACACCCAAGAGGATGTTTCCCTGATCACTACAATCTATACCGGTTCGAGTCTAGAGTTAACTGTTATCTTCCCTTCCTATTCATATAAACTACCTCTTAACGTAACCCTTGTAAAGGCTGAACCTTACTGTAAAAAATATAATCTTAATAATAATTCCTCATCTAGACATTCAGACAGAAATTAAGTTTAGCTTATAACGGCGCAAGATAGGCATGAAGCAACCAGTGTGCATCAAACTCACTACAGTAGTAAAGCTAGCTTGATAAACAATGCTTAACTTCGAGGCACCAATATATGTACTAAAATTAGCTTAATACAGCTCAAAGATACAATTGTGGGGATCATCGAATGTAGCAATGGCCGAATAAAAAGACCAATTCTGTTCTTTTGTCTCGTTTTGGCATTAAACAAAGATAGTGTATTGAACTGCAAAAGTAATCGGCTACTTAATTTCCTATATCAAGATAAACATTCGATACCCAAAGAATTACTGATCACTAAACCATGATTCCACAAAGTATTTTGTGGTTTAAAGAAACAAATGGCCTGAACAGTCTCTGTTTAGAATATTATCGTCGTCGGTGTCTTCTCGTAATGATGCGCCTAAGCACAACATTCCCGCTAGCGTTTTACCCTGTGACTTACCCCCAACAACATTTTGCCTGACCCGAAGTCGCCTGGTCCTCGCCGTCGCCAGTGTCCGCGTCTTGGTCGTTATTGGTGGCCACTTTCAGCTGCAGCAGCGAAATGTTTATTGCGACACGCTTCACTGATCAGCTAATACTGTTTCCATTCATTGATCAAGTGTTTTCTGTCACAATATTTCACGGTGTCCTTTTCGATATTCTGTCTGTTTCCATAATAAGTTAATCTCTTCGTTGGGTTGGGGTTAGATGTGACCAGACGCTCCCACTCCCGTCATATGACCTATGATTGTGCGCCGCGTTCTCTTCTCATGCCCACAATAGCTAACCCTATCACAGACGCTCTTTTGCCGCCATTGCTATCGCTGTCATCGTTTTCTTTTTGATGGGTGGATGGCGTGGTTATCGGTAGGTAATAATGTCTTAGTACAAGACAGACAGACAGACAAACAGATAGATAGATAGATAGATAGATAGATAGATAGATAGATAGATAGATAGATAGATAATGAAAAGAAATAGATAGATAGATAGATAACGAAAAGAATTAGATAGATATGTAGATAGATAGATAAGGAAAATATATAGATAGATAAAGAGATAGATAGATAATGAACATAGACAGATAATGAAAAGAATTAGATAGATAGATAGATAGATAGATAGATAGATAGATAATGAAAAGAATTAGATAGGTAGATAGATAACGAAAAGAATTAGATAGATATGTAGATAGATAGATAAGGAAAATATATAGACAGATAAAGAGATAGATAATGAAAATAGATAGATAATGAAAAGAATTGGATAGATAGATAGATAGATAGATAGATAGATAGATAGGCTATATGAAAAGACAATTCGATACACTGTCACTTATATCATAAGATAAATAAAATCGATCAATCTATTCATTTGTCAATATATATATTCAGAGTAAAAGAAAGAGATGAAGCTATGATAGATAGATAGATAGATAGATAGATAGATAGATAGATAGATAGATAGATAGATAGATAGGTCTCGTGAGGAAGGGCCTGAGAGAAAAAGCTTTCTGCGCTATTGTTGGTTGGCCTTTCGTAACGGAACAAAACGGCCCGTAGTATTGAAGCAAGAGGTGGGGGAAAAAAAAGAGAAAAAGACTAAAGTTCCGTGTTTGTAATGCGAGCACCGTCCACCATCGTTTGACCACGGTTGTGATGATGCTGACGTGTCATTTTGCGGTGCCTATTACGGGACGCAATGAGGCGTGAGAGAGGACATACGATCGGGCCGAGTATAATGCAAAGACCAACCCCCTCAATGACCACTGACAGCTTTGTGTCTTGGCCCTCACCCACCAAAACCCTAAACATGACCTCAGCCTCCACCTTTTACATTCTTGTACTCATTTTTCGAGAGTAATTATATAATAAATAACCGGCCGAATGTGTCCTTTTTCTTCCTCCGTACACGCGCGTAGTAAGCGAATCAATGTACAATATGCATTTCATTACTTACTTTAAACGCTTTGGAACTGTGTACTTAAGAGTGTATATATGCGCGCATGTGTGCATCTGTTTTGTTTGTTTTTCTTTTTATATAGTGTCTATGCATGTGTGACTGGATGATCGTGTGTTTTTGAGAGTTTGCGTATGTGTGTGCAATTGTGACAGTGTTTGTATACGTGTTTGTTTCTGAGAGTGCATATTGTGAGTGTAAATGTGTTTGTGTTGTGTATATGTTTTCTTTGGATATGTGTATCTGGAAGTGTGTGTGTACAGTATTATTAGAGTTTCTATATACGTATTTATGAAACTATGAGAACGTGTGTTTAACGGGCAAATTTTACGATAACGTGTGCATGATTTGTTAAGCGTTTTTAACTGTACGTGTGTGCGGCTATAAGAGTGTGTCTTCTTATGAGAATATGTGTATGTGTATATTTTTGATCTGTTTGTGTGTGTACGCGCGCTTGTTTGTTTAAGTTGTGCGTGACTGTGAGAATCTGTATGCGTGTATGTGGTCGGGGGGTGGGGTGCACGCGTGTTTGTTTAAGCTGTGCGTGACTGTGAGAATCTGTTTTTGTGTGTGTGTGTGTGTGTGTGTGTGTGTGTGCGTGTGTGCGTTCGCGGTGGAGCAGTTGGGTGGGTGTGGCAGATCCGGGTGAGAAAGAACCGCAAAGTCGAGAAATAGAATATCAATCACGTTGGGTCTTTTATATTGAGACACGTTTTCTCACTCGTCTCATTCGGGATGCAGAGTTCTCTCACCATTTCCCCTTATTTTTCCCAAATCGGATGGCAGCAATATTTAGTCTGTCCAAGGAGGATACCCAATTTTATTGTCAATTTCCTCTACTCGGGTCATACACAAAGAAAACTCTCGTTCCTTCGTGATCACGTTTATTACTCACTTGTATTCTCGCATCTAACCGAACAAAAAGAGAGGCTGGTATTAGGTATGGACTTTGATGGTTTTGCGGTGGTGGAGAGTTTCAATGAGTTTGCTTGACACCAAAACTAAACACGTCACTTTCTTTGGCTTCGTTTACCATTTTCTTTACAGAATAGTTACTTTTCAATGTAATATGAACAATGAAACTTACGGAAGTCCTTTCTGTCTCCCCGTTTTTAGGTATTCCGTTAATCGTAAAATATGAGTTTGATATAACTTTATATGATTTACAAATTATCATATCATCTCTGGTATAATATATCACACAATATGACTCATATATATTTATCGATCACGTAAGCTGATCACTCTTTATGAGTAATAAGATATTCCGTCGTTATATTAAGATGAGACAATACTTGACGTCAATTAGCAAATATTTCATCAGCAAATAGGGGAGGTCAGTTTGCCGGTGCCTCGCTTTTTCTTTCTTTTCATTTGTCCTCACTTTCTTTGTATATGTTGGAATTACTTAAAAAGCAGACGTTTTGGTCTTAGGTGTAACGATCGAGTTAATTGTATTATTAAATTCCTAGATAAAGCATACAGGGAACATAAGCAACGCAATGGCGGAATCGCTTTAATATGGCCGTCACATTTTGACACTACGTAATAATATAATTTATATAGGGTAGGAGGAAGAGGAGGAGTAGGAGGAGGAGGAGGAGGAGGAGGAGGAAAAGTTCTCAGTCAGAACCATTTCCCAAAATTTGATCGAATGACTCAAGCATCAGAAGTAGTTTTGTTTTTTTTAACTTTTCATGATGGTCAAAAACGATCTTTTCATGATCAGACCTAACCCTTTTCAGCACACAACAACAACAACAACAACAACAACAACAATAATAATAATAATAATAGTCAATGGATCGTGACTTGGGAAATAGATCCATAACAAAAGTTTGCCTTCTCGGAACAGCGAAGATACTCCGGAAAGCATTGGATACAGACTGAAAAGAAAAGAAGAAATGATTTACGGATGAAATGAAAATAAACTTTTACCAGCAACCAATAACATATACTGTGAATAATAAGAATAATAATCATGTACACTTAGGTTCTTTTATTTTTATTTATTTATTTATTTTCAAAAATATTCAGTGAAAATGTCATTTTTGACATTAGATCGATGGTTGGGACCCGGAAGGAAATGAAGATACAAGAGAAATCAAAAGAAATAATAATAATAATAAATTGGTATGAACGTCACCCAGACCCAGTTACGGAGATAGGGCCCGTAAAATTTTATAGACAGAACAAATCAAAACTAACCGCCCAGACATCGTGAGACCGCAAAGGCAAAATGTGCCTTCTTATTGACATGGTTGCAGTCCCTGCAGACTGTAATTTATCTTTGAAAATCGTAAAAAAACTATCAAGGACCTTGAAATCGAAATCTTAAAATGTGACATATGAGGACATCAACAATTCCAGTTGTAGTTGGAGCCCTTGGACTCATTGGAAAAGATTCTAGTAGACTCATTGAAGGGATTACTGGTAATGCATGCCTTAAAGAAATACAAAAAAAAAATTGTTCTCACGAGTAAAACTCACACCTTACGAAGAGCTTTATCTATGTAAAATATGTGCGATTTTTTTTTTTTTTTTTGCTCAGTGGAAAATGATGTAAACCAACAGAAAACACATCAGTGGCTGAAAAGCACCGGGTTGAAAGCTGAGACAGAAGGCCTAATTATTGCAACTCAGGACCATAACCTCGCAATCAGATCTTATAACTGTCACCTAATCAAACCCGAAATGCAGGATATGCGGAAAATATGATGAAACTTTCGACCATATTATCTCAAAATGTCCGTAAATAGTAAAAGAAATGAATAAAAAGGTAGCGACTTATGTGCACTGGAAGATATGCAAGAAGCACAAAATCGAAACCACTGAGAGATGGTATAAGCACCAGCAAGACACAGTTACATAAAATAATAATGCAACTATCCTCTAGGACATGCCAATTCAAACTGACAGGAAAATAAAAACCAAAAGACCTGATATTATCAAAAGAGAAATTCAGTAAGTGTACGCTTATTGACATAGCAATACCAACTAGAAATACCCCCATGACAATTATCGATAAATTGTCCAAATACAAAGAGATAGAGATCGAAGTTAATAGGATGTGGGGAATGAAGACTGGGACTGTACCAATAGTAATCGGAGGACTGGGACTCGTGAGAAAAGGAATGAGGAATTTTACTAACAGTATCACAGGCAACATATACATACAAGTTGCCCAGAAGATCACCTTACATGGAACATCCAAAAGAAAAGTGCTACCAATTAAATGAAAATTCTTCTATAGGGCGTAAGAGCCATCGTTTGAACCAGGCTCTACAGGATGCAAAGCAGCAAAGATAACGTACACAAATGGTTATAATAATAATTAAAAATTAAGGACCTACAAATCGAAGTAACAAAAATGTGGAAAAATGAAACTACGATTATCCCTGTTGTGATAGGGGCATTGGGTATAATAAAGAAGGGTACCGAAAATCACGTGAATACAATTCCTGGAGCCATCAGCATCTATGAATCAAAAAAGATTACTTTGTGCGGAACTACTCATATCATCCGCAAAACCCACCCCAGCATTTTTAAAAGATAAGTTGTGGTATACATGGATTGTTTTATTTTTCAAATAAGTATCATTTAGCACGTTTAATTTAATAAGAAGGACGTCTCACTAAGAATTATTATATCAAGAATATTTAATACGTTGAATTCGTTAAATTACATATACATTGGCATGAATAATTCTATTCTATATTTAAGTCAAACTTTTTTTCTTTTTATGAAAGAGGGCGTAATTTTTAAATTGTATGAAAATCATTTCGTGTAGTAATGTTTATCGCTGATTTTTGATTTAGTATCGTCGATTTCTTTCTCTATTATTTATAATTCAAACATTTTTAACATTTGCGTATAATTTTATTCATTTATCCTTTTTTATTGATTGTAACGTGGCATTTTTATGGACGAAGACGTATTTTCAAAATTGTATGAAATTCGTAAAGTTATTTTCTTTTGTTTCCTATTATTATGATTGGTTCAGAATACTCAAATATTTTTTTAGTTTATACATCTATTCTTTTCCTATTTATTGCTTTAATGATGACTATTATTATTTAAAGTAATAATAATAAAAATAATAATAATAATAATAATAAAAATAGTAATAATAATTCTTAAAGTGGGAATTTGATTACGCGAAGTTTACTCCGACAGCCAGTATAATATCTATATATATAGATAGATGTGTGTTTATGCCCATCCTACAAAATGTTTAATATCTAAAAAAGAACAAAAAAAAAAAAAAAAAAAAACACTAAACTAATTCAGTTGCTTTTTTCCAGGTTTTCAGATAAGATGTTTAGCTATCTTGAAACCATTTCGTAAGAATCACTGAGAAACCCTTTCAGTTATTCAGCTAGAAAGAGAACAGGTCAAAATCGTTTTGTATCAGCTCAACTGTCTTCCCAAATGAGCAATGGTGAGAGTAAAAAGATAATTCAAGCCTTTAGCAATGGTCCCAACATTCATACTCTGGCTTCCATCTTCAAAGTCCATTCAAGAACCAAGAAGATAACGATGAATAAGTTTTAAAAAGGGGAAACAGTAGAGACGAAAACTGGTTCAGGAGGTCACAACAGGAAGAGGGATCATCATTTCAATTTAGAGCTAAAGAGATCAATTAGAAAAGATCCAACTCAATCCATAAGACTTTTGGCACGTGAGAGAGGAGTTCCATTTAAGAGACTTGAAAATGAAATCGTACGTGAAACGTGTGAGACAACTTGTTACTCCAGGACAGACAATTAGAAGGTTAGAGAGGGCGAGGATCATCTTGAATAAGTTGGAAAATGATCCTGATATATATATATATATATATATATATATATATATA